TATATATATATATATATATTTGTATATTAAATATTAATATACAAAAATTATACGTTTTTCGGCTATTATTTTGGAAGGCAACTATACATTGTAGATTCTAATATTATAAATATATAGTATGCAATCCATTTGTCCACTTGAATAACCTACGTCTTGAAGTTTTATTCAACTGTAGTTTATAATGAGAAAGAGCAGAAAAAAATGGGGATATTCTTAAAGAAAAACATGTTAATTATAAACCAATATCGTATATGAAGATGATGTTCACTTGTTTGAGGTAGGGGTGTACATAGGTCGGGTTGATTTTATAATTACTAAATTAAACCAATTGTGTCTGGTTATTAAATCTAAAGACCAAACCAAATCGGCCAATAAAATTCGATTTTTTCAATCTCGGTTTTCTCGGGTTTTCGGGTTATTCGAGTTTTTTCGGTAAAATCTTCGAAGCACAAAATATATAACTTGTGCTCAAAATATTTCTTTAATCCTAGTAAGATACAACTATATAAGGTATTTTCTAAGAAAATAATACAAAATATGAGATGTGTCATGGCATTATCCTAAAATATTCAACAATAAAGACAATAAAATTATGTAATATAAATATTGCTAATTAAAAAGCTATAATAAAAATAAACATAATGTAAAAGTACTAAGTCATGCTAAAATAAGTAAACTAATAAGGGAGTATTAATTACATGACTAAAGGCTAAAGAAAAAAAATAGGTTATGCATTTTTATCTAAATTTTTGCAAAACAAAAAACAGATATTCAATACATTGTCGTTCGTAGTATTGAATTGAATGTCTTTTGTAAGCATTAGTATTGATTTGATTTTGGTTTGGGCTTTTGTTAGCATTATCTGAGTTACTAATATTAATGGCTATAAAACTTATTGGAACATTCAAAAGTTCTAAGTCCAACCTTGAAATAATATCTTAAAAGATAAAATTATGAAAAATTTTAAAAAATATTTATAAATTACATCACAATAAGTATATTTTTATATTAAATATATCTAAAATTTCTATATATGTAATGTCGGATTGGTTTGGTTTCGGTTTGACTTTCTTTAGTTAAAATCAAACCAAACCAATTATGGCCAGGGTTTTTTTCCAACACCAAACCAAATCAAACCAAACCATAGTTTGTTTGTTTTTTCTTAGTTTGATTCCGATTGTCGGGTTGGTGAGATTTATCGATTTTCTTTGTACACCCCTAGTTCGAGTTCGAGGTAAATGCTAACTTACTGGAAATGATTAGCATATATCCTAAATTCTTAATCATCATGTCATTGAACAAATAAAGTACATGTGATTATTTAAAAATATTAATGTTGAAATCTATCTTGAAATTGGAAAGATAAAACAAAGTATACACTTTCTTCTTCATGGTTAATAGTTTGTTTGGCTAAGAGCCTGTTTGGCCAAGTACTATTTTCCTCAAAAAAATACTTTTTAAAAAATTAAAGTTGTTTGGCCAAGACGGAGAGTACTTTTGGCCAGCAGCAGAAGCAGACTTTTGGGAAGAAGCAGAAAATTATAGCTTCTTCCAAAAAGCAAAAGCGGAAACAGAAAATTAATTTATTCAAGACAAAACTATCCTCACTATAAATTTATATTTTCCAAATTATTCCTTATTGATTTAAGTTTTTTTTTTTCTGTTTCTAGGTTTTGCCATTCTTTTAGATTTAAAGATTTCATATACATGAATCATATTGTAACTTTTCAAAAAATTTATTGACTATTTTTATTTTTTGATTTTTTCTTTGTGTAATATCTTGTAACTTTCCAAATTATCTTCATCTTTTCTTACACTAAAACAAATTATCTACATCCTTCTTTGGATTATCAATTTTCTTCTTACAAATAATTATTTATAATTTCTTCTCGTATAGGCTATTAATTACTGATCTTTAAAACTGTTATCAAATCTAATTTGTGAAAATTACCTACAAATAGATAATAAATTTATAATTGCATCGCATAATCTATATAGTTTTTTAAAAAGAAGAAAAAGCCTCCACACTAAGCCAAATGGCAGCCTCGCAATAGGCCACTTGGCAATTCAAGACAAAGTTAGTTAGGTTAGGTAATAATTAGTTTTTTTTTGAATTTAAATTAAAAAAAAATTAAATTATGCATTGTGTTGTTAATAATTAGTTACTCTTTTTGAATTTGAATTTAAACATACTTAACTGTTATTTTTTTACGAAAATAATAATTTTTTATATATTTAAAATTATTTCTATTTTACGCTTAATGCCATATTTCAAGTTTGACACTCAAAATTATCTTGTTATGGCTACCATAGTTATACAAAATTTTATCCGACGAAATTCTTCTACCGATAAGGAATTCAACTATTATGCTAATGAAGACAATACTGTAGATATTGAGGAAGGAGATGGGCCTTCTGGTATTCCATTAGAAATGCAAGGCAAGTCTTCTACTAATATAGAGGCGTTGTGTGATAGAATTAAAGATGAAATTATTGAGAACTGCTATCATGTGTGAGTGACTTTGCTTATTATTTCATGGTTGATTATCAATACATAGTAATTTGTGGAATAGACTTCTAATTCATACTGAATGATATATTTTGATTATTCAAATCATCATGTAAACAATAATTAATTATACTAGATAATATTATATGCTTTGGTATAATTATATATGTTATATTAATTTAAATCTTTACTATGTATGTTTACTTTATATTTTATATTTTAATAAAATAAAATAAAACATAATAAAAGTCTTTTACGATAAATATTTAAGTTCATTTTTCTCTTTAAAATAATTATAAGACCTTGATACTATCCTTTTTGGTAATTTGACACTCAAAAGTACTTTTTAGAAAGATCGGCCAAACACAATTTGTTTACCAAATGTTGTAAAAAGTACTTCTTAAATGAATTGGCCAAACACAAATTATTTTTTTTCAGAAGTACTTTTGGATAAAGCACTTCTGGAAAAAAGTACTTTTCCAAAATAAGCAGTTTTTAAAAGCTTGGCCAAACGGGCTCTAAGCTTCTTCAAACGTAGAAGTTCTTCTTTTTTTTTCAAAAAGGTACTTTTATTTCAAAATTGAAATATTTGGCCAAACTTTTGGAAGAAAAAAAATTGCTTTTGAGGAGAAGCAGAAGCAGTTTTGGAGAAGCAGAAAAAAGTAGCTTCTCTCCAACTATTTTGAAAAGCACTTTTGAGAAAAATATATTTAGAAGCAGCTTTTAAAAGCTTGGTCAAACACTAATTGCTACTCATAAGTGCTTTTCAATTAATTAGTCAAACACAAACTGTTTCTCACCAAAATACTTTTGAGAAAAACATTTTTGAGAAAAAGCGCTTCTCAAAATAAGATGATTTTTGCAGCTTGGCCAAACAGGCTATAAGATAGCTGAAATTACAGTTTTTTTGGTTTCCGACCCGGTGTTCGGTACCCGCATTGGAGCCCGACTATTCCGAATTCGCGCCGGGTAGGGCCCTATTCGAGAGGTAATGCTCCATACCAAGAATTTTTCCATACCCAGGGCTCGAACTCGAGACCTCTGATTAAGGAAGGAACAACCACATCCACTGCACCACATCCTTTGGTGGTGGAATTGCAGTTTTATGGTTCAAGAAAATTGATTTTGAATAAGAACATAAAGTTATATATTACTATATCAACCGAGTAAAGTAAACAAGTTAATGAGTAAAAAAGAAAAAGAAAAAGAAGAAATAGGAGAAAATAGTTTTCAGATCCTCCCTTTGTATGTCGAATTTATTTTATTATTTTGTACAAATATCACTTTTAGCCCGCGGTTGAAATTATTTACATTCGATAACAGCAAAAGTATATAATATATATATATNCCTAGTGATGGAAGAGGGCCTAACGTCTACTTTCTAATCCATTTTAATTTTTGGCTAAATAAATTTCTTCCAACTTTTGTTACAAAAGATAACAATGATACCTTAAAATCTTTCTTCTCATTGGAAGTAACATGTGCCCAACTCACGCATGGAAAATAATCTTTAAACTAATGATGTACATTTGAATATAAAAACAGTTTTAATTTTAAAACTATCCAGGTACTACCAAGTTGATTGCATAAAAACTCGGTACATCATTTCATTTTTTGGGTCAAAACAGTACCCTGTCTTTACTCTGCTGTTGATCAAGTCTTTTTAGAAAAAGAGTTAATACATAGCAGATTAACTCTTACTAGTTATACGATCTTTTTAGATCGTATAAGTATTATTACATATCTTTCGATAGTAATTTACTTGATCATTTATAGCAGATTAACTCTTACTAGTACTTATTATAGAACTTATCTATAGTTAACTTATAATTAACTTGAATAAACATGTTTCAGTTTTACGTACCAGCTTCCTAAGGTACTAACGTTATGGTCTCTTTTTAAGCCAATTATCTCTAACAGGGGAATTAACTCCACTTTTCATTTGACAATTTTCAGTTCTACTTTGAAAGTCTAATTTTTACTAATCCTAAAGTGCAATCAAGAAAATTATTTTCCAAACTTTGCAAATAAAAAGCAGCGCCCGTTTTGTTTGAACTGATCAGTAGTAGCAGAAAATAAGTATGGAAGAAAACTTGACTATCAGAATACCCCTCAGATTCAGAACCGAGGAATGAACAATTTAGGTATGCGAAAATGCATCCTTAAAATAGGAGTCTCAGAAATATTAGCACAGTGATGTGTAGACCAAGGATAGAATGGCAGCTACATGATAGCCATTATACTCTCTCTATTCCTTTGCTAAAACATCACACGGAACATCTTGACTTTGACAAGGGAAATGTAGCACTAAAGACACTTTATGAAGTTCAAAACTTTGGGAGTCTATTAAAGACATGCCTATGTGCTACGAGAGACGTTGGAACGAGTGAAATTGTGCAAGCAGCAGTAGTGCTTCGAGATCCAATCAAACTCAAAAACTGTTTCAGCTGCCTGAACGCAGAATTAGGCCAAGAGCAAAAGCTGATACTCATTAGCATTTCCCATCCGGTTTCCTCTCATAAGCGTCTTTCCATATCATAGATCATGCCCATGAGTTTCTTTTGGTCTAAGGCATTGAGACGTAAGCTTCTCAGTGACAAAATTCCCCGACATATGGGAACAAAGAGGGGAGAAATAATTGGGAACTGTACGGCTTCTCTAGCACCTCAAATGATTTTGTGCAATCCAATGTTCAAATCAGAAGATATAGAAATAAGGAGTGGGATTGCATGATGCCAAACAGCTTTGAAGACTCGCTTTTGATGGGCTTTAATGGACTGAGAAGGTTTGTGTGAATTGTACCTTATGTCAAAAATGTGGATGACTGGATCAACCGATCCTGATGTTATGTACAAGCCATCAGGCGACCAAGCCTGGTTTATAAGAGCTGACTGCGAGTCACTACTTTCTTGCTTCCACCCAAAGGCTTGAACCTCTGTCTGCCTCAATCTAAAATCAAATAAGCGAAGCTGCCTCTCTATAGTCCTGCATTAAAAGCATGCACTAATAGAATTAGATTAAGCAAGATGAGAGAATGCAAGTAATTGCCTCAAAAGACACATTTGTGATAAGCTTCTACCTGTTATAAGATAATGGACTAATATGATAAAAAAAGCTAATCAAGAATTCAAGATTAAAAAGGAACGGTACTTACATTTTGGAAAAAAAAAACAAAGGAAAAAAGAAATCATCGCAATGAAGGGATGAACCTAGAGAACCTGCACTAAGGCCACTATGTTTTGTCCCAAGAAGGCCAATCTCCCCCTGCTTTTCGGAGGAGTGTCTTCCTAGCATTCCTAAAGCAATCTGGGATGATCATGGTTTTGATCAATTTGTCCTGATTCTCTTGACTAATTATGGGTCCATATTAAATGCCAGAATTCAACAAAAGCCTTTGCACCAATAGGTCTAAGATAAAGAGTTTGTCTAAGATGTTTGAAGCATCCAACAAAAAGCCAATATATCTTCCTTCGCCTCTATCTTAATTACACAAAATTCTCCTCACACCACTTTCATTCCAGAAGAATCTGGCTCTTGATTTAGTTCATAGTATCCCATTTTAACCTCGCTTTACATAGAATCCATCCGAATGATGGTTTAGCATTTGATCCTGCTTCAACTAAAAGATTGCAACTCCGCCACAAAGATGATAGGATCATCCACATAGATTACCATGACCTCCTTCATTCTATCAACTGTCCCTTCAACCCCAGAGATTGAAGAACCATATAACTGTCAAGGCTACGATATTGAGCTTTTTCTGGATTGATTCTTAATATTCATTACAAATTGGGGAACTGTCAAAAATAAACAGATAAAGAATAAAATGGTGCTATTTAATTTGGTTCTAGCACTAGAAAACTTCAAACGTTTAAATATGAGCATGCACATTCACATGACAAGATCAAAGCCAGAAGCATGTCACATTTCTATGCTTACTAGATCAGCTTTGCAGCAAAAAGAGAATCCCTGGTTCTTATATTTATTTCAAGTCTCGGCATTAGCACCGGATGGAAAATTTTCCCCTATAATTCAGAGATATAAAACTCGTTGGCATTGGAACTTACATTCCTTCAACGATTTCGGGCACAATGCAGTGAGGATCTCAAATTACACACTTTTCCTAAGACCCAAAACAACCAAAAAAAGTACAACAACTACTACTACTATTACACCTCGATCCCAAGCAAGTTGTGATTGGCACGAAACACAACCAAGTACTATACTAGATACTTCTATAAATAATAACCAAATCATTGTTGTTCATCTAAGTTGCTCGGACACGGGTGCGGATCTATAGGTCGGATCCTTCGAGATGTAAATTCTAAGATTCGGGAATATGGATCCTAGTACGGATACGGGTGCGGGGATCCAGCTAAGAATAATTTTAAAAAATAAAAATATAAAAGTATCTCTAAATTATGAGAAATTTAGTGGAATACTTACGTATAACTTGTAAAGTGTGGATTTCTTTTTTATTCTCAAGTTGTAGATAAGTAAAAGATTGATTTCCTAGATAATGTATACTATTTTCTTCAAATTTACCCTAGTTTTAGTTCTGATTCCGGGAATCAAATTGTATCTTTTCTCGAATTTTTCCGCCTGTCGTGGTCAAAGTACCCAAAATTGTTTGACCAGATCCAGTACGGATCCAATACCCACACACATACTAGTATCGTGTCGACACGGGTGCGACACCTAATCTGCCATGTCGGAGCAACTTAGCTGTTCATAAGTGCAATATCTTATTTAAGTAATTAAGGAATAACTCAATAGAGTTTATGAGAGATTCTGAGGAAGTCTTTAGGTATTGTATTCCTTGCGAGAATAAATGTTTTTGCAGAGTGCACATTATTCCAAATAAAAGTAATTGCAACATTATAAGAAAAGATGGACTTTTGCAAGAGAAAGAACTGGGAACATAGCTAGGAATCAATAGCATGTAAAAGTGCACCTAAAGAACATAGAAAGACTGCATCGTAAACTTTACCCTGTCTGAACCATAAAGAGATTGAAGTCACACGGATTAGGTAGAACACTCATGCATTTATTTTCAATTTGATGCTTGTATTCTGCTCTTTGAGCTAGCAAATCAAATCCAATGATCCGCTTGTCCGCTCCAGCAGACATCACAACTTTCTTATGCTGCAAACCGGCAACACCCATCACGGCAGAAGAATGAAAACTTCTATGCAATGCTTTAGGCTTCCACGAATTTTCTCCATCTACATTGCTCCACAGGACAGCTGCATGATCACTACCACCAGTAACGAAATATACATCTTCCCACGGCATGAACATTATGTTGTTGATTATCCCTTTAACATGAGGCTTTTCCTCCAGGAAACTTACACGCGTTTTCTGTTGATACAAAGCACATGAGAACATAACAAGAATAAAATCAAAGTAATATTTGATGCGATAGGATGCCTGGTGTGCTATGAAATACGACATACTTAAGCCTCAAACAACTTCAGAAGCTGGAAAAAGATGTTTGTAATGAGAGATTAATTTTTAGTGGAGGAGACAGGATAGCTAATAGACCTTGGTTTAGTTTGGTCAAGGAGAACCTATGAGTACAATGGTTATCTGAAGCCTCTAATATCCCGGTTAACTGAAGAAAATGAAAAAGGAAAAAAGATACTGACCTCATAGGATCATTAGGTCCATATAAATTTACAATTAATCGTCATCGGAGGTACTTTCATGTGTACAGAATATTACGGACAAGAACATAATAAGAGAACAAGTAACAATACAAGTACTTTAATCCTCTTTTACAGCTCCAAAGAAAAATGTAAGTACTTTAACTTATCAGTTTAAGGACCATTACTCAAGAAATCAAAGGACTTCCTCATCCTTCCCCTACGGCTCTCCATCAGAAATACCTATGATCTGGGTCTCATATGTTCATTTATCTATTCAACCACTACAACAAACCTTTGCATAGACAGTTCTATGCATAAAGTCAGGAAGTGAAAGTGGATTAATATATCTGGGCTTCTGCTATAATGAAATCATAATGCAACTCAATGTAAAGGACTTAGCACATGCCACAGACATGTACCCATGCTGTTTCATCAAATAGGTATTTTTACTATCCTATGAGCTTTGCCATATAATTTCTCTGGAGTTTATCTCAGACTTAAACCTGTACCTCTTTTCCTTTAAGATTCAAGATTGAAATTTGAGAATCCCCACCATCAGCACTATAAACCGAAAAAAGACTATTTCCTTCTGGGTGCCAGGCTACATCTTCTGGCCATCTCCTTTGCTTGGATGAAAGGCAATCAGTGGAACTAAGACGATTAACAGTTGACCTGATTATCCAAAAAAAAGAAGGTAATTTAAATCATCAGAACACAAAAAAAAAAAAAAAAAAAAAAAAAAAAAAAAAAAACAGCATTTAAAAGTTATTGCTGCCTGAAGTAGGCTTTTGCCTTCAAAAATATAGTCTCACGCTCACAAATGAAAGCGATACGGATATGGCTAAGGAAGTTGACTTTTCAAACTTTTAACATACCCTCTGCCATGTATCTGCCATAGGTTGATAATCCCATCCAATGCACTGCATATTCAAGGGCAACCTAAATTATCATTCAGGATTAAATGAAGCTATATGCAAAACCCATTTGTTACATTCTATGCCAGATGCTCAAAGATGCCATGGAAAGAATAAAATACGTGACTACACTGCGCCTTAGTCAAGAGAAATGAAGTGCAGTGGACATTCACGTCAAAGAAAAAACATCAGCTAGCAACTTCACAAATTAATAGATAGCAGCAAGAGTTCCCAAATCAGTGACAACTCTAGAAGCAAGAAATGAAATGCATCGATAATCAAAATTGTCATTTAGCATGAATGCCTGAAATTCACAGACTCTTAAGCACTGTCATACCTGCTTGCAAAAAGTTCATTATTTGTAGGACTTGAGATAATTGTTCTCAGCTTTCTCTTGTGTTGACTAGATACGACACAGGATGTCTGGCAGCGTATCATGCTTGCTGAAGAGCAGCTACTTATCAACGGTATCAACTCTTTATGCTCTTTCTGCTCTGTATTTAAAAAGCAAACATGAGAAATATACTCGTCATTTCGTAACCTCCATCCAAAAGGCTTTCATGCAACATGCTAATAGCAGTGATCAAATATAACTAACAAAAGGCATGATATAACTACAATATTACCGAACTTCCTTTTTGTTCCTTTAGACTGAATTTCAGAAGCTTCCTTCTCAGGTGTTCTCTGACTTTTATCTTCTTTTAACCTTGCCATACTAGTACCATGAGCAAACCCTGATCCACCAGCCTGCGAATCAGAACCACTTGAGATTTTAGGACAAGATTCTATCAACTTCAAAGGTTGAGATACTCTTGGTTTCACATCGGGAATGACAAGTGGTGGTTTCGCCTGGGGCACACTGCGAGAAGTATATTCATTTTTCTGGAAAGGACTTGCCATTTTTCGATCTGGCGCTGGAGACTTCCTAAACGGTGTATTGTTGTCCTGGCTACGTTGTGGTTTAGTTTCAGACAAGCTATGAGAAGAGCCCTCATTTATCTGGATGGGACTTGGGGATCTTCTTTTGGCTGTCACTGGACTCGTCCCATTCCCACGGGAGCTTGTGGATGTTGCTATGTTCTCTCGTCCCCGAAGACGAGCTAATTTCAGCTGTGTCTCCTCTAGCCTCTTCTCTGCTTGATCGAACTATACAATTCATCCAATGGAGGAGAAAATGGGGATGTCAATTTTGCTCCCAAAAAGTACAAGAACAACTCTTTAAAGAAACAAAAAATCTATTCCTGTAACTATAGAAATGTAAATCATCTCCAAGTTGCAGCTAACATTCGATAGATCATGCTGAATTTGATGCTTCAGTGAACTGCATCAAATTAAATAGGAAAATGAACTGCTAATATACAAGCAATTCTGTTGCACTATAATAACTTTAGCGCCAAGATGGATCTCTCTTGCTACAGGAAAAAGATAACTGAAAGCTTTTCACTCATCCAATCTATGCTTAGATATGTGTATCAATGCATGTAAGCAAACAGTAGGAAAAAGGTATGCTGCCTCCTTCTCAGCCAGAAGGAAGCATGCAACTGCCAAAAACAGGAGTGAAAGAACAAAGACCCCAGAATGTGACATTCGTGTATAAAGAATCAACACAGTTGTTACATATGCCACCGCAGTTACTGCACACATAAAGACTATAGTATTCAAAACAGCCAGCTCATATTCCAATAGAAATCCTCAAAATGACACCATTAGTCTCAAAGGTGCAAGGTCACATGTTTACTACTGACATCAACTTAAAGTTGAGGACACTGCCTTTTCTTTTGGGGTGGGGGTGGGGTCAAGAAGTTTGTAAAGACAGAAGAAAGAAGAGATTTGGGAATGAATTGCAATTATCCCCTCAAGCATGCTGAAATTTAAATAGTTTTACAAGAAATTCAAAAAACAAAAAGGAAAAGAAAGTAATTCCTATACCTAATTACACAATTACAGCCTACAGGGATCTCAAACCTTTCCCATACTTACAAGGTACATATTATTGCGTACTTACAATATCCTAATATTGACATTTTTAACAAAGTTGAGGAAACTACTATATCTGACAGCCACTAAATGTTGCCTTAATTCTCTCCTATTATCTACTTGAACTTGGGAACTAAAAGGAAGAGAATGGACAGTATTAAGGTTTTCTAAATATATCATCTAGCAATTGCACCAATCTTTACCGGTGAATACTTGTTATCAATGGGAAGACAAAACATCGAGTGTTACATCAACAGTTTGTATTACCCCCAAAAGGAAAGAAGATAAACAAACACAACAGTTATTTTTTACCCTAATTACAGTCCTTGCTGAGGATACGCATTCTACCTTAGCAGAATTTCCATGTTTCTCACAAGGTTAACTTGTCCACTTGAAAACTATGGTAAGCAAGGATTCCTAAAATCAGATAATAAATGCAATGCAAACAGATTTGAGAAATTAGCGGGAATACAATCAAGCCAAATGGTCCAAGTCTTCCAACAGTCCAGCCAATGACATTCCTATCAGCGACCAAGAAAAGAAATGGTAACTCTCTGAACCTCCAACAGACTGGATTTGACACAGAATTTATTTGCAAATAAGCCATAATGAAGATCCAATAAGCTGCTATGGAAGTATTTAGCATCAAGAAAAAAAGAAAGGTACGAGCTTTAAACTTTCTCTTTGCGCTTCAACAAACAATAAAAGTTAAAAGAAGGTAAAGATGGGGGATGTCATTAATGCTCCGAAAATTAAGAGAATGACTCCAGAATAAAAGGTAAGTCATTCCCTAGGTTGCAGTCAACATTCAACGCACGTCCTTTGGTGAATTAAATGCTAGCCAGCGTAAGTTGAGAGGTAATTACAAGAAAGTATGCAGGTATATAAATCGCTCTAAAAGCAATTCCGAAGTCCAATAACTTTAGCTTCTAGATGTGTCTCTCGCATGCACTAGATAAATAAAAGCTTTTTACACTTTATTTATTAAATTCCATGTTTAAATATGTATGTCAATGTGTATACTATAAGGTAGCAGTATGAAAGTGGCATCATGGATCTTCTCATCAAGAAGGAAACTTACAACTGCCAGAAAAGGGGAGAGAAAAACAAAGACCCCAAAATTCAAATTCATGTATCTTTGCCAGCAAGACTGTTGGGCATGCCACCACCGTTACAGCCAGCTCATTTTCCAATTGACATCCTCAAATGCCACCATTTGCCTTAAAGGTGCATTGGTTCACATAATTTTACCGACATGAACCGTGCTACATTTCATCTGTTCAAGCGTTGTAGCGACTGTTACATCTGATTACCACCAAACATTACCTCGATTCTTCATCCTCAAAAGTCCTTATAACAGGGAACTAAGGTAAAATGTTGGGAAAGTTTCCACAGTTTGCAAAAAATAGTATCTCACTGTTGGACCTATTTTACTGAACCACTAGTTACCAAGGAAATACTAAACATCCAACTAATGAGTGTACTAGCATGTCATATTAACCCCAAAAGAAAATTGACAAACAGAAACGCAAAAACAGCAACTAGCTTTTTACCACAATTACCACCTTATCGAAATTGTCATGTTGCACACTCCAAAAAATTAAAAATTATGGTAAGGACGGATGCTTAATATCAGATCACAAATGCAATCCGATAAATAATCCAAAAACTCGAAATCGAGAAATCAGTAGGAATCAAGAAACCTAAATGAACCAATCGTCCTAAAACCCAGCTCGTTAACATCGCCAATATTCCGAACCAAAAAAAGGCAACTTTACCTCCGATTCAGGTGTTTTATCAACACACATTTATTTGCAAATAAAAAAATTTAATGAAAATTCAATTGGCTGCTATGGGAAGTATTTAACTTTTTTTAAAAAAAAACTAAAGGTACAAGTTTTACACCCTCTCTTGAAGCTTTGTACCGATCAGCAGAGCCAGATGTAGCAGTGCTGCAGCTGGTGCTACTGATCCCACTGCTCTTGATTTGAACTATATTATACAGTTAATCAATTTCAAACTCTATATGTCTATCTGTGTGTGTTTCCAAGGGAGTAGCCAAACGTTGAAGGGCTAGAATGACAATCTCAAAACCGAAGTTCCAATGAATTTTCTTCACATATGTCTAACCTCAATCGTTAGTGTTTCTGCCTGTGGGTAACTAAGATGGATCCAGGATTTAAACTTTATGGATTCAAGTTCGGTATTCTACCACAATTCATTTGATTTACTGGGTCCGCAATCAATTACTTGTACTTATTTAGTGAATTTCTTAAAAACATACACGGTATCTGAGCGGGTAGAGTCACCGGTTGGATTAGCTAGCTCGAATAGCATGCTATAGAGAAGTATGCGTATATATAATAAGTTCACGCTGACTATCACGAAGTAGAAACAATTGCATTTTCATTTAATGAAATAACTGAGTTAAAATTCAGGATCCGCCGGATCAATGAACTACATAAGACAACTAATAAAATCATTCAGAATCAATATAAGAGTATAAATAAAAGTACCTGAGAAGTATAATAGGAAAGGCGTTGGCGAAGATGTTCCACTTCTTTAGTTCGGTGTTCAATGAGAGCTACAAGTGCTTCCTCTTGCTCCTTTCTGTTTTCTTCTTCCATTCCTCCATGTGAATTTGAATTGACTTTTTCTTCTTCGGTTTCAATCTTGGGCTTTTTCAGAACCGGAGGAGGTGTATTCATTTTTTTCAAAACTTGTTTCCTCTTTGTTTAAAGTATATTGGCGGCGGTGACGATAATACTGCCGTCTTCTTCTTACCGTCTACCGTCGTCCGACCGACTTCTGGTTCGACAAGTTCAAGGTGGATGTTTATCTAGGTGCGTGGTGTATTTTTTCTTCTTCCATGGGTAAATTATGATTTTTATTTAGTAGGTGTAAATGTTTTACTGCTAATACAGATATGTAATCAATGTCTCAAAAATAAGAAATTGTTATAAATATATTATGACGTCCATTTAGTGATCAATTGTAAATAAGTTTCTGAAAAACCTTATTCAAATTGGATTTCGTCGTAAATATATTTATTTTCCACTATTTCGATACTCCGTTATAAATAAATATTACTCCTATATAAGATTATGTATAACTGGTACAATAACAACTTACAAGAAACTTACACAGTAGATTGCAATAGGAGCTTACAAACAGTTTATACACCACCTTGCAGTAGCAGCTTACACAGCAGCTTACTTTCTTCTATAAATAGAAGAGATTTCAGTTCATTATGTACATGAGTTTGAAGTTGAATAATATATCAATCTCTTTCTATACTTGTATTTACTTTACAGTTTTTATTTTATAACATGTTATCAACACGAGACTCTGTCATTTTGAGCACTTACTTCGAATTTAATTTCTATTTCAGTGTTCATTTCCGATGTAAGGCGACACTCTTACATCCGTGGTTAGATCTTATTCATTCCGAGCATCGTGAGTCAGATTATATCCTTGAGGTGGTGAGCTTTTCTTCTTGGCACTAGTGATGTGGATATCACTTACGTCTCGAGTAGCCAAATTTATATAAAGTAATTTGAGGCTTTTGCTTATATTTAATTTAATATTTTTATCATCACTTGCTTGGTTTTGTACTACGTGTACACTACATATTTTGGTATTTGTTTTCATCCTAATTATCTTAATAAAGGATTACAAAGTGGATAACATNATATAGAACAATGAACTAGAACCTACAGCTAGTCAGCATCAAGGTTTAGATCAGAGTCTGCATGAAGAACCAGTCAAGACTCAAGATCAAGTTTCTGAAGACTCATAGATAGGAATCTTATAACTCATAATTTATAGGCTTGTTTAGTTTCTTTTTTTTATTTTGATATAATAGCAGGACCGCGGACCGGAGCCTCGACGGAACCTCACTCGACTCCTCAACTCATCATTCCACCATTCTCCTTGAACTACACGCGACCTGATTGCCCTATAACCCAGGATATATAGGTTGTCCAAAACCAGGACTCGGTTGCACTCTATCTTTTATTTCTTTTCCTTTTGAATAATGNTAAAGTTTGCAAGAAATATACAACCACCATAAGTGGTTATTTTTCGTATATCTCACTGTAACTAAATTTTGCTAACCACCAGAAGTGGTATATGCCTATGACCACCAGAAATGATAATTTAGGCTTGTGAGCACCTAATTTTTGACTATATTTGAATTTTTATCACCTTCTACTATGTAAATATTTNTCTCACCTAGTCTTTGCCTGAAAACTCTTCATGTTTCCAAGCAAAGAGGGGCAGCTGTGAGTACCTGATTTTTGACTATATTTGAATTTTTATCACCTTCTACTATGTAAATATTTTTAAAATTTAATATATATATTTTTTTACCTTTGTTACACTTATACATACATACATATATATATATATATAAAGAGAGAGAGAGAGAGAGAGAGAGAGAGAGAGAGAGAGAGAGAGAGAGAGA